CCAACTTCTTGTGCACCCCCAGCCCACTCACTGGTGGGGTGCTGTGAGGAGCAGAAAAGTCCTTGACACTGTGTCAGCACTGCTCAGCAGTAAAGAAACCATCCCTGCGTTATCAACACTGTTTTCAGCACAAATTCAAAACACAGCCCCATGCTAGCTACTGTGAAGAGATTTAAGTCTGTCCCAGGCAAAACCAGCACACTTAGTCACCAGTCTTCCAGTCCAATCGCCTCTACTGTTTGCTTCATTTATCTATGATCTTACTCATTGTTCCCTCTCCATAGCAAAAAGCCTCCTGTGTTCACTCTTTATTCTGTCTGCTTTCATAAATATCCTCTTCTTGCCTGCCCATTTCCAGCAGCAAATAAAAAAACCTCTTTAAAAAAAAAAAAATTTAAAAAAATCAAGGCACCACATCTACTACAATCTTTCTTGCCTCAAGCATTTCCACTTCTGATAATCTTTTAACCTAAACTCTCAAGATTATGTGACCATATCAAAGGACCACAGACAATGTGTCTTTGTTCATATCTGCATGTATGAAACTTATCTTTTCCCTGTGCTATATTTGGATCCTGTAGAAACTTCTGCAGTGGCTGTCCTTTTATTCCAGATTTAAATAGTTTAGCTATATATTTTGATAAGATACATTAATTTGAAAGGCCCTACTACAGTTCTAGAGTAGAATTTTCCTGTAGATCACATTGTAACATCAGACTTTTTTAAGATCTCTTCCACTGTGTTTTCTGTTGACCTCTTCCAACACGATACCATCTAAAAGGTTTAATTATCCTACATTCATGTTGATTCTTCCAAATTAATGATAATCATTGCTTAATATCTGTCTATTGATGTCTCACTCCTCTCCACTATCTGTTTCATTTGGGTTAGAAATTGCATTATCCTGTCTAGCATATTCACTCATCTAATAATTTTGAATTCTGAGTAACACTGCCACATTTATTCTGAATAACTTTGTTACTTACTGTCCAATGTTTGACAGATGTCTAAAATTATCTCATTTTAGTGATTTTGTTAAGTATTGAGAATTTACATTTATATATCAGTAAGTTAACCGGCTCCATTCTTATTCCATACATAGCAGACCAGAAAACATTCATTTTTTAATATATTCAGTATGCCTGGATTCTCAACTTAACAGCTGTATTTAGAGTTCTTCCATACGTACTTGCCATAACTCTTTTCCATATGACTTTTTTAATCTCCAGTAAATAAAGCTGTTTTGACAGTATGACATGCTATCTAATTATTTTTTTTTAATTTCACATATTGAAAACAGATTTTTTTTTCAGTTTCCAAGGAATCACTATTACACACAGATTCAACATCTGACATCAAAGCTCAAAAAACCCAAAGAAATCTGGGAAAAGCATGAGTAATTACAAAAAACAATTTATAAAATTGTGAGGTGATATGGTGGAAACTGAGTTGAAACATCTTATTTATACTAACTCCTAGATGAATTGTGATCTCAACTCTATAACTGTGCAGTTCCAAGAAGAATATGGGTATTTAAAAGCAATAGCAGAACTTGGTGAAGACAAAGCAATAGTGACAGTAAACACTATAACACCTTGCTATCAAGAACAAAATATTACCCGAAGTATTGCAAGACTGCCTTCTAAGATTTGCTAACCGTATTTGTTCATAAATATTCATGGATCTCAGCAGAGGCATTTATAAAACCACCGAGCTTATTCACATTTTCTTGACTCTGACTGCCAAGACCAAGCTCATTCACTGCAGCTCCCTGTGCGTACTGCACCAGATTTTAAGGTTCAGTTACAGCATGCCTCCATTCACGTTAAAATAAGTATAATTCTTTTTCTTACTTGATACCCAAAATTTGGGTATCTTCCAGCCAAACATTTCCACTAGCAGAGAGAGGACGGCAAGTGAGCTGGTGTTCAGTTCATGCATCTCCTTCTCCAGGCTCTCCATATGTGGCAGCAAATCTACAACCCCAGGAGGACACACGCATATCAACAGGCTGCCCAAACCTATCATCAAACAAGTGTTCCTAAAACAAGAGACAGTACAAGGGAACTAAGGCAGGGCCACAACTTTCGCTTCACCCCTTAGGCAACATAAATGAACATAATGCCAGAGGCCCATGTCACCACCTGCAACATCCACAATGATGCATATTCAAAGAACTGCAAACGTATCAATTTGCGCATAAGCATGGAGGGGAACAATTTTACAGGAGAAATTTCTTTAAATGACTCAATGACAAATGAAACAAGACGAACTGGGAAAATACACAGAGAGTTTTGGATTCCTCTTGGGTACAATTTTATTCCAGAAAAACCAGTATTTTGCAGGCAGAAGTACGATAAGACTAATTTCCATTTGTGATGTCTCTCATCAATTAGAAGGTTATTCCTCAGATAAATCATTAATATAGGCATATACGTGAGGGACAAAATAGTTTAGGAGAATTAAATTAAATGAATTGGCCTCACAAGAGTTTGTTACCTTTCCTAATACAGTTTATGTCCCACAGGACACAGAGATGTCTGTTTAGCAGCTTCAATATGTTCTTTCTTACCTCTACATGCCAATTTAGATGCCAATAAAGCCATCTAATTTTTTTGGAATTTTCTAGGCACAGTGGTTTTACTTTTCTGATACCAAAGCTGTAATTTCTATTGGTTTTGTTACTCATTTTTAAGCTACAGTCTAAAGAGGAAAAATCTGTATAGCTTTAATTTACTCATCTTGTCGGTCAAGGTATCCTATATAACTGCTGCACAGATGGAGAGCAGGCTATTGCCCTGATGGAAATAATCTACATGGCTCAACTCTAGTTAAATAATTTCAAACAAACACCCAGCAAAGATGTGGGAAAGAGGTTGAAGTCTTCTTCCCTCCATCCTCCCAGAAATGCACTCCAACATGCTGCAGAATTTGCTATGGACTGTTCCTTGTATTTAGTAGGATTTTGGAGCACTCTGGCTATAATTTCCTCTGTCACAGTCACCTACACATTACATATGTGAGCTCACTCATTTCTCTGCACACATACGTGCACAATATACAGATGTGCTCCTATAACAACCTCAGTATTGCAGAAAATACTAAATTCTCAAACTGTAGAAAGATGAACAGGTAACCAAACTGAAGCAACCCTTACCAGGCTGGATATAGGTAAACAAACAGACTAGTCATAGAAAATGTTCCTACAGCTGTCATGGTCTTGTGGCTACACTCTATTCTTATTCGAATCAGAGTTAAATTTGATGCTATTACAGGTAAAGCATTAAACTTGGAAGCATATCAGGGCTAAACTCTTCTTTACTGTTCATGTAATCTTTTTGTATATTTTTTTTTTTGAATCTGAGTACTTTAAACACTCAAAACTAATTCATTCTTCTGTCCAAGGTATAACTTTATAATTATGTGCTCTTTTTAATGCAATTAAAAGATGATAATAAAATTCACATCTGTATGTCTACATAAAAAGTGATACAGAACAAAATATGAAGCAAGACAAAACAAAAAAGATAAAATTACTAATGTAAATGTAATGTACCTTCACCCAAACAGAGGCACTGAGACACTAAAAATTATAGTGAAATAATGCAATTTATCAGCTGAAAAATTCAATTTTAGAGGGTACCAGCCACCACCAAATTTCAGGGTGTGTGGTTTTAAGAAGCAGAAGTGCTTTGTGCCACTCTGGTTTTATAATTGATTCTCATTGTACCAAACAAGAGTGGGAGAAGTTGGATGAGGAAGCCAATAGCAAAACAAAACAAAACAAAAACAAACCCTGACATTTCTTTTCACACATCGATACTGCTGACCCTTAAGAAATAGGACTTTTTGCTTTAGTCTGCAAAGCAGAAAAATTTCCAGGGCAACACAAATTTACTTCACTGACATATACTGAACCTATTGTACAAGTCAAACAAGAATTAAGGCTTTATTGTTTCTTTTTCCTCTGTAAGAAATAAATTCTGAAGATTATATTCGTAGGGGCTTTTTATTTGCTTTTTTAATTAAAATACAAAAAAGACAACCATTCAAAGCTGAGTATCACACAAGGCTGTTAAAGAAACCAGAACATACAGGAATATTATCATTCAGGTGTTCCAAATTTCACACCGATACAAAGAAACAAGGCTAGGACAAAGCTATGTTATATAAAGTGAAGACACATTTTCAGTGCATACCTGTTCCACTGGTAAGTCCTTGAGACTCTTGCAACTACAGTGTTACCAAATACAGATAAATCCACCTCCACATGGATTCATCTCCAGGGCTGTCTTGTGCAAAGTCAAATGCCCTAATTGAGATTAATAAACTAACAGAATAGAAATAACCTTATTGGCTTGTCCATATTTTAAACTGTTGCAGAGCTATATAAAAGTAAATGCTAATCTTTATAAATATACATGTACTTCATGAATTAACATTTTCTCCTAGGTGTTCTCTTGATTACTCAAATACCTGTTGAACATGTGCTAGAGAGACAAATATTGATGGATCTGTTTTATTAGCAATCAGATGCATCATTAACAGCTCAGAGCAATAGCACACATAACCTCAGCAAATCAAATCAGGACTCCTACACAGATGATTTCCAGTTAATTTACATTCTTCATAGCACTTAAAGTGACATGCTTTCAATATGGTGTTGATGTTTGACTTTGAAGACTCTTCTTTTTACAACACAGTTTTCAGTGCTAAGATCAAATACAAAACTCACTGGTTTCCTTTAAGTCACACTAAGCTAGTGCCATTTGTATTACTGCAACTGCAAATTTCAGTGACTGGATGTTTGGGGATATTTACTTCCTTTTGCACATTATTTAAAATAGCACCATTTTCAGTTCATCAGCGGTTCTTCTGAATTCACTGTCTTTTAAGGCTAATGCATTTTAGTAGTGAATTAGTTTGAGATTCAAGCTCTTCTGGCTTCTAACAGTGCTACTGTTAAGAAGAATGATCACAAAACATAGATAGACAAATACCTTGCTTTTTTCTTGCTGAAATTCTATCTGGATGTTGGTTAGTTTAGTTCGCAGCTCCTCATTAGCAGCTTGCAGGGCCTCAATCTCCATGTCGGACTTCTCTCCCTTCGCACGACTTTTCTTTGACATAATTATTTTTGAAGTTTAAAATAAAATTTTTGCTCCACACTGAGCTACCAGCTAGTCCCTTCTGCTTTTAGCATTTAAGAGTCATGTAGTGTTCAATAAAATCTTTCACACAAATTTCTGACATCGTGGGAACAGTCTCTCATGTCCTGGAAGAAAGAAAGTAGTGGGAACAGAATTAGGCTACAGCACTGAGCAGAATCAAACATCAAAACTACCATCCAGTTTTAAAGCACACTGAACTTCCTTGTAGTATATACTATATTGCATAGAGTGCTAGACTTTGAAAGAAATAGATCAGAAAAGAAGAAGTTACACAATATTTTGTCATCTCATCTAACCCCTATCCACTATAATCTGATGTCAACCAAAATAAAACACTTTACAGTTATGATGAATATAAGCATATAAGCAGAAATCATCTTATTCAAGACCTGACATGGTCCATGCTCAGGATTCCCAAGAGGCACAGGGACAACCACAAATTAACTGAAGCTGGTGGTGTTTCAGTGGGAATAGTTTATTTTCTGCAGTAAGAAAAAAGAACTTCTCACTTTAACATATGTTACAATTCATAATTGTGTTATTCATAATTATCATAGAGTCTTACATATACACAAAATGTATTACAAAACTGGAAAAACATTTTGAAATTACTTCTTTAAAATATCATAAACTGCTTATGTTTAGGGTTGATGCTTTTTGAAATGGTGTAATCAAAACATAAAGGTATTTAACTTTATTTTCATTCCCCAGCATGCTTCTAAGCTTAAAAAGTATTCAATTATTCAAATCAGCTTTATATAGTTTTCAAGAAGAATATCAATAGCAGACGAAGAACTTTAATTCCGGTAATTAGGAAATCCCATGATTAGTTTGCTTCATGAGTAGCTATAGAAGCTTAACCCGAGGCTTTTTTTTCTCTCCGCTCTCCTCTAAGAATAACCTGGTGCTCCCCAAGAACAAACTGAGCAACAAGTGCTATCAATGCTGAATGAGTTTCCAAACCCACATCCTCTGCTCATTTTAAATATCTACATAATTTTCAAGATTAAATTGCTGAGAAAGCAGAAAGGTTCCTACTTTAATACCTAACTACATTCCTGGAACATTGTATTTCCAAGAAAATTGCTACCAAATTGCCTTCAAACAGTAAGTTGCTCTTTCCAACCTACTTCTGCCTGGTAGCTATTTTAAAAATTGTATTAGAATGAAAGACACATGATTCTTTAGTACATACTTTCTAAAGGGTTAACAACTAATACCTCAGGTGTGTACAGACAAACACCATTTCGCAAGTTCAACTAAATATGTTTTATTCTCCTCTTTAAGGATGGGTAAACAGAAACCAAGGAGTTAAATATCTTTCTCAAAATAACAAGTCAAATCAGACAAAATGTGAACAGAACTCAGGACACCAAGTCTCAAGTCTGACAATACTCCCACAGAGTTCTGTCATTTATAAAAAGCAACTGAAAAAAGACCAACTATACCAATTATTTGCTAAAGTATCTTAAGTGAAATCATTGTTTTGCTTTGTCATATCAGACGTCTTTCCTTCCAAACTTAAAAATCTATTGATTCATCCTATGAATAAAATTTAATCTTTTCCTTAAATTCCTTATAGTGAGCATTTTTCATATATAATATATTTAAAAAACCCAGGAAATTTAGTTAAATTTTAATTTTATTTATGTATCAAACCTACCTTACAAAATGAATAAACACTGGTGCTACTGTGATTTTACATATCATTATTGATTCAAGAAAAATAAATTATCAATATTCTTACAGTAACTTGAAACAACTTGGAATCTTCAGTGAGTAGAAGAAACTTGAGGAATAACGTTTTTAATAAAGGAATTTCATTCTATTAAATCTATGATGCTAAAGAGTAAAACTAAAGACTATTAATTCAATATATTTAATCAAAAATCCTTAACTGTTTGGAAAATTTGATTTCAAAATCAGTTGCTAGTGTTATTTCCCTGGTCAATTTGTAAAGAAGACGTAAAATAACACAGATGTGCAAATCCATTCTATAATAATTCTACAACATTTACAATGGTGTAAGGGGAAATGAATGGTTCCTTGTTGCAAAGGCTATCTGGGGTACTCAGATTCTATTGAGGAATTATTCCTGAAACCCTTACTAAAACAAAATTCCTGATGCAGTCAGATTATATATGATTTAATTCAGTAGATGATTAACTAAATTAAGGAAACCGAAAACATCCCTCACTAGCGTGGCTACACGAATTTTAACCTCATTACATTCACCCCCCACCTCAATCACAGTTTGGAATAAAGAACATTTAAATGATAGACATGTTTGCTTCTCCATCAGTAGAATGAGAAAGTGAGCTAACTGCTTCATGTGGATAAACATGACATCCAGAGAACCAAAAAAAAAGATTTGAAATTGGGAGTGTTTTGAAATTACCACGTATATTTTGTTCAGTAACAATAATCTCTCCTGACCGTATCATATTCCCAAGGTATTATGAAGATACTAGACCGTTCAATATGAACATCTAAACTTACATTCATGTACTTCAAGGGATGGCCTGTCTCTGAAGTCCTGGTCATATAAAACTCTCAATGACTGCAGAGTTCATATTCTACCCCAGAGTCACCATCACTCAAACCCTTTAACAAATCTATGGTAAAGGCACCAGAATAATGCTGTTGTCTGCCTTTGAAAATGTGGGAGTCTAAGTATGCTATGCATTATTTAAAGCTGTCCAAATTACATTTAGCACTTAAATTAGCCATAAAATTAAAGAGTTCAGTACTACTCTTTGAAGTACTCCTTAGAATTTAAAAAAATGGGAATCTCAAAACATTGTTCTCACCCTTTTTCCTGTAACTCAACACTTAAAAATTGTACCTTCCAGTAAAACAAAAGCTTAGACCCAGAACCTGAAGAAAATCACCCTCTCGTCTTATAGACATTAAGAAAAAAAAAACAAAACAAACAAACCAACCAAACAAAAAACCAACCCACAACCCAAAACAACCCATCAACTGCATTGGTGGGCATAGAAACATTTCCATTTTTCTCTTCCCTAGGTACATCTGCCAGCCTATCTATTTCAAAAGCAGGAACTATGGCAACACAAAGCCCCTCTACACACTCAAGAGAGGCACAAAGCCCAGACACACAAGGGCTACAGCAGAAGAGCACACGTCTTGATTCCCGAATGAAAGGGTTGGAACTAGTGAGTGCCTAGATTCCCTTCTAGTTGACTACGTACATTTACTGCTTGGACAAAGGTCAGGCTAAGAAAAGAAAAAAAATTAAAAACTTGTAAACACACTGAGAAAAAAAGAAGGAAAAAATATTCTACTCTGACAAAATTTGACTTCACTGACTCAGAAGCTTCAATGAATGACTTATTTATTAACTCACCACGTGTCAGTTGAGAGGCAAGTTCATGAAGCCACCACAATACCATCCCACCATCACTCGATGAATAAAAATAGCCACCTCCTGCGCTGTGAGTTCTATGCACTTATTGCAAACCTTAAGATCATTTGAATATATTTTATATTTCACAAAAAAAAACCAAAACAAAACAAAAAAACAGGATAGGAAAGAGTAATGGATTCTAAATCACAAGTCACCTTTTCAGCAGTCTCTGGAACATACCAAATGTCTCACTTTACTTGATAGGTATAGGGGCACTTAAAATTATTGTATTTGAATCAACTGCTCAACAGTTAGGGGGACTGGCATGTGCGGGATCAAAATATTTAACATGATTAACAAATTATTACTTCACTTGCATTAGATGTTTTGGGAAATCCGTTAAATTTCTAAGGTACCTGGAAAACCAATCAGCAGAACAGTGTTCCAGTGGTAACTTCCAATTTCTCTTCTATTCGCTTTACAGATTTAAAGGATGTACTTTATCACTACCTCAATCTCTTCCTTGGTTTCAGCAAGAAAGGCCTAGAACTAAGTCATGAATTGCTATATGATGCTTCTAGATATCAAATAGCAATAAAGCATAACAGTAATGAAAGAAAAATCAATTACTGTCAAAAATGTGAAAGTGTAGCATTGAAGAATTTTTATTACTAAAGAGTAAGAAAAGAATGAACTTAATAGTTTCTGGTGAAAAATAACTCATTTAAAGAAATGCAGGTCTCTAAACATGATTCCATACTGAATACACAAAAATAAGTGAAGGGTTATATCTTCAGAAAGTAAGTCTTACAGTATTAAACAGTAATCAAGAGGAATAGTAAGTACACCCATAAACTCAAGTTCTAAATATGGATAAAATAACATGGTAACAAGAAAAATTTCCTAAATGGTGTCATCCAAAATTCAGCATTCCAGCCTTGATTCAGCCTTAAGCAATGTTATTCAGCTTCCACATGACTTTTGGAAGGTGAAGTTGTTACTGAGTCATCTCAGCTGAATCACCAAGCTAAAACACAGGTCCAGGAGGAAAAAAAAAAAAAAAAAAAAGAAGTTTCTTTATCTGGACAATTTGCCTCCACATAAATAGTGGGGTTTTTTATCTTAATTCAACCTTTCTCTTATAATACTGGGGAGCCTGCTGTGGGCTACCCATAATCCCTATTACGCTTGTGAACATGACACATAAGTACATTCTTAGTACAATACAATTCTGATTATTCAAGAAGTTTAAAATAAATTTTATTACCCTAGCACCTGACAATAGTAAACGCAGTAGATACAGGTACAATGTTAACTTCAGAAGTAAATGCCAGTTCACCTATGTTACAGTTTAAAAACCAGTCATAATCAACCAGTGACTGTATGGGAAAGACAACATTCATAGCTTCCAATGCCAAGGCACATTTCTCACAAGGTTCAGATGACCTACATTTCCTGCTTCAATTCTCAGTTCCATGTTATAAAACTGACTGAACAGATAAAAGCAAAAGCATCTCTACAGGATGTAAAATAATACTTTTCCCAGCCAAAAAAAATACAAATTATCAGAATAATTTTCTAAGTACAGTGT